GGAGTTCGAGACCAGCCTGAAAAACATGGAGAAACCCTGTCTCTACAAAATACAAAATTAGCCAGGCGTGGTGGCCTATGCCTGTAATCTCTGATTGCTGTGTCATCTAGGAGGGAAATTGGGCAATATTCTCAAATATGAAAACACACTATCCTCTGATGTAGGAATGCCACTTCCAGTGGGTGTCTCCCGCCTAAATAGGGTGACACATGTACAAGGTCATCCACTGCATGATTGTTTTAGTGGCTAAGGTGGGAATAACTTACATATCCATCAACAGAAGACTGTAAAATAAAATTTGATATTTCCATAGGTTAGAGTATTTATCAACTGTAAAGAAACTGGAGCAGCTCTCTATGTCCTGATGTGGAATCTTGCTATGGAGTGATAGGGTGTACGTTTGGGAGAAGTTTTCCAATCACCAACGAGCTTTAGTATCTGCATGTGAGGTGTATTGTGAACCTGTGGGAAACTGATGAGAAGAGAAATGCTGGCTCTCTGACCTGTGGTTGTGTTTGAGGAGCTTTTATTGAGCACCTATGACGCACCAGGCTCTTCTATGTAGACAGCATCCAACAGTGGGGAAGGAAGGAGACTGCCTCGATTCAGACATGGACTCTGGCTCCAATTCTGTCACTAACTGGCCCTGTGACCATGGACAAGGCCCCTGTCATGTCTTGGTTTCAGTCTTCCATCTGTAAAGGGGGTTGGGCTGGATGGTCTGAAGTTCCTTCCTGTGTTGACATTCCAGAATTCAGGAGCTAGGACGAGGCTCTTGAGCCTCTGGCAGGAAACCCCAAATAAGCATTGTTGCTGCCTTATATGGGGAACCCCTAAGTCACCCAGTTGTGAGACCTCTTTCCTGAGGTGAGGGAGGTTCTGAGATGACGCAGCTCTGCTCGGAGCCCATGGTGACTGTGTGACTCAGTTCCCGAATCCCACAAGGGTTTCCCAAATGGACCCACAGCAAATCCCAAACTTATTGGCATCTCCTTCCACCAGGCCATCAGATTCAACAGTGAATGTGCCTCCCAGGAATCTTCCCCGTGGGGTGTTTCTGAAGATTAAATTAAAAAAAGAAAAAAACACGATTTACCCTCTCCATGCCCTGGATGGATTTCTCCTCATTAGAAGGGAAGAGAATGTAAGCTTGGTGGGGAAGAGCTTTGGGCTGTTTCATTCACTGCTCTTTGCACAGCATCCAGGGCAGAGCCTGGTGCACAGTGGGGTCTCAGTGAGTGCCTGCTGCATAAAGAAGAGACTCAGCCACCCTGAGGGGGAAGCCTTCTCTGGAGGCAGAAGGCATAGTCCAGACTTGTGCCTGGGCAAGTAACTCAAATTGTCAGTTCCCTCATCTGTGAAACTAAAGGGCTGGGTCAGCTTTGGAAAGACAAGAGCTGTAGAGCCACAGACTGGGGATGCCTTCTTTTCCATCATTTACAAACCATGGAGCCTCAAACGACTACCATGACATCTCCAAGCCTCAATTCACGTGATCCGGAGAAGGGGTGACATCAGATCATGAAAATGAGCAGCCACCACCACACCTGATTGTTGCTCCAAGAATGGATAATGTAATTATTGACTTATTGTCACACACCAGGGGACAAAGGAGGCCCACGCTGTACTCACCACGCACAGACAGCTCAGTGCCTGCTCCAGACTTCAACTCCACATCGGGGCTCCCTTTCCGGAACTTCACACAGTAGTAGGTGCCGGCATCTGCTGGGGTGATGCTACTGATGCGGATGGAAAAGTCCATGTTGTTTCTCTTTGTGGGGTCTGAAACAGGTGTTACCCGGGGAAAGTGGCCTTCTTGCAGATTGTAGATTAATTCCCGGCCTGGTCCAGCTCCTCTGAACCACTGGATGGGACCCACAGGGATCAGGGAGGTCACAGTGCAGTTCAGAGTGGCCGACTCTCCAGCTGCGACTGACACGGACTTCTCAGGCTGAATCACCTGCAGCTCCTCCTCACACAACCTTCCTGGAAAGGAGCACAAAGCAGTCATTTTTTCATCCTTATGTGATCCTGTGTGTTTCCCCCAGTGTTTATCAATGACTTTCGTTGACTAGGTGTACACTAGGAGCAGGTCTTGAGCTCAGCTCACTACATGCATTATCTCATTTAAGCCTCACAACTGGCCTGTAACATAAGACTGTAATACAAGCGAGGACACTGAGGCACAGAGAGGTTCACTTT